TGGGAAGTGGGGCAGCCGGGACTTTAACTGGCACTCACATGGGGGCCGAACCAGCTGCACTATAACACCAGCCCCCTTTATGTGTATATAGATATTTTTTTTGACAGGCAGAGTGGACAGTGAGAGAGAGAGAGACAGAGAGAGAGAGAGAGAAAGGTCTTCCTTTTACGTTGGTTCACCCTCCACTGGCCGCTGCAGACGGCGCACCGCGCTGATCCGAAGCCAGGAGCCAGGTGCTTCTCCTGGTCTCCCATGGGGTGCAGGGCCCAAGCACTTGGGCCATCCTCCACTGCACTCCCGGGCCACAGCAGAGAGCTGGCCTGGAAGAGGGGCAACCGGGACAGGACCAGCGCCCTGACTGGGACTAGAACCTGGTGTGCCGGCGCCGCAAGGTGGAGGATTAGCCTAGTGAGCCGCGGCGCCGGCCTGCATTTGTGTGTATTTTACTATTCCTTACACTAGGTGAATTATGTTATTTGTTGTAATCCAATGGTCCCCAAAAGACACGTGTGGTAGCTTTCAAATTTCTATCCCAGAGAGTATGAAGCAGTAGCTTCATGAAATTCAGAAGTTAAAAAAAAAAACCAAGAGAGTAGAGGAGAAGGACACGACTGGGAAGAGGAGGATGGGGAGAGCAGGGTGCGCTCGAGGAAGGGACATCCGGTTCCGGAAAACTCAGCACTTCCACGCGCTGGGCGCCCAGGGACCAGGAGAAAGACCGGTCACTCAGGCCTTGCTCACGGTAAGACAGCCCGATGCACAACGACAGCTCGGGACGGGAGGCCGCACCACCCCAGTACACACACAGGACCGCGAGGACGCAGGCCAGCACCCTGACTCCCACAGAGAATGCGGAGCTGGGTGAGAACACCAAAGTGGGAAACACCCACCAGGTGTTAAGAAGCATACACAGCGGCCGGCGCCGCGGCTCACTCGGCTAATCCTCCACCTTGCAGCGCCGGCACACCGGGTTCTAGTCCCGGTCAGGGCACTGGATTCTGTCCCAGTTGCCCCTCTTCCAGGCCAGCCCTCTGCTGTGGCCCGGGAGTGCAGTGGAGGATGGCCCAAGTGCTTGGGCCCTGCACCCCATGGGAGACCAGAAGCACCTGGCTCCAGGATTCGGATCACCGTGGTGCACCGGCCACAGCGCGCTGGCCACAGTGGCCATTGAGGGGTGAACCAACGGAGGGAAGACCTTTCTCTCTCCCTCTCTCTCTCTCTCTCTCTCTCTCTCACTGTCCACTCTGCCTGTCGAAGAAAAAAAAAAAAAAAGCATACATGGCAGGCAGTAGCCAGACAGAAACTCCTGCTGATTACCCAACGGAGCCAGGCTGGTTAGCCCAGCGTCAGACATTCGGTTCCAGCGGAGCAAGGAGCAGTTTCCGGAGGCTGGACCACACTGCCCCCAACAGCGTGGCCAAAGCAAGTAAGAATTTATAGTATTAATTTAAACAGATTATCCTATTCTACAATTATTCCGTAATTTCAGGAGCTCAAATGTCGCTCCCCCTCTTCGTGGAGGAACGACACTAAACCCTGCCTAGGCTTCATATCCGAGTCACGGCACCATTATGTCGCTCCCCCTCTTCGTGGAGGAACGACACAGGACCCTGCGCTGTTCTTTGGTCTGCTCGGCCCTTCCCGGGTTTGCTGCTGGTTCTTCCCAGGTTGGCTACTGTCCCTTCCACCTCCGTGGAAGGGCAGTTCCCCCTGGCCACATTCCCCACTTCCGCAGGGGAGCGGCACACCGCCGGCCGGCTCTCTCGGGGGCTGCACAGGTGTTCCCCTTAGATGTTCCTCTTAGATGTTCCTGGTGCATGCCGTCTCTCTCCTCCTTTATAGTCCTCCTCTGCCAATCCTAACTCGGCTGCCCACACGCCAAGTACGCTGCTCTCCTCCAATCAGGAGCAAGTCCTACAGTTTATTGGCTGAACTGGAGGCAGCTGTGCGGAAAGCTGTTTACTTCTCTCCCAGCGCCATGTTGTGGGAGAGCAGATGCACAGAATAAGTCCTAATTCCAGTAACTTAGTCTAGTCCGAGCTGCTCCCCACAGATCCCCCTTTCTTTTTATTTTTGGCGTTGATACGCGCCTGTCTTCGGTGCCCCGCGGCACACACTCTGCTCTGCTTGCTAGAGTTGCCACAGGTTCTTACAAGTCCTATCAATCAGGCAAACCGAATCCGGGTCCTCTCTTCGCCATGTTGTAAGGAGGTTTTTAGGCGCTGATGCGTGCGTGTCTTCGGTGACCTGCGGCTCATACTCTGGTCGAGCCGCCTGCTGGTGCTTACCGCCTTAATCAGGCAGACCGAATCCAAGCTCTCTCATTGCCATGTTGTGGGGTGACTTATTGGTGTTGATTCGTGCCTATCTTCGGTGACCTGCAGCTCATACTCTGGTCGAGCTGCCTGCTGGTGCTTACCGCCTTACTAATCAGGCAGACCGAATCCAAGCTCTCTCATTGCTGTGTTGTGGGGAGGCCTTATTGATGTTAATTCGTGCCTGTCTTCGGTGACCTGCGGCGCATAAGCTGCTAGCCGCCCGCAGGTGCTCACCGCCTTCCTAATCAGGCAGACCGAATCCAAGCCTTCTCATTGCAGTATTGTGGGGAGGCCTTTCTATTTCTCTCTTTCTCTATCTCCGGGCATTCCTATTTCTCCTATTTTACTTTTATCTACCAGCATTCCTATTTCTCTCATTTTACTTCTAAACTTCTGCTTCTCTTATCCCCTGCAGCTTCCCGGCGCCCGCTCCGCGGCAGCTTCACAGCTCCGCGCGGCTTCCCGGCGCCTCGCCCCGCCGGCGGGCTCCCGGCTCTGCGCGGCTCGGCTTCGCGCGCACACTCCGCGGTCTGCACGCCCCTTCGCGTCCGAACCACGGCCTCGCGCCAGCCCCGCGTTCCCTATCTATTCACGCCCCGTGCTCTCTCTGCACGCGGCGGCTTCCGCGAGTCACACAGCGTAGCTTGCGTCTCCGCCACTAGCATTCAATCCAAGTTCCCCGGGCTAACCTGGCGAATTCAACCCAGCTCACGTCTCCGCCCCACGATCTGGCTTCCCGTCCTTTGCTCCCCGGGCTAATCAGACGGATCCCAATCTGGCTTACGTTTCCGCTTCTGGTTTCAACTTTTCGCCCCCTATTCCCGGGCTAACTTGAGAATCCCAAAGTGGCTTTCGTCTCCGCCTCGGCCTGCCCCCCGCAGCTTCAATTTCCCTAACATTTTTCTCTACCCGGTATGTTTCCCCAAGCTTTCCTCCAACAATACTCCTCCCTCATTTCTCCTGGCCTCTCCCAACAGTCCGCATCCGAGTCTGTTTGTTCTAGCTTTCACTTTCGCTTTCGACCTTAGAGATTTCTCCCAGCTTCCTCCCGTAGTCCGTATCTGAGTCTATGCCTAGGCTTTCAATAGCTTCTTCCGGCACCTTTTTTCGTCCGGCTTTTCCCTAGGCTGTTTGCTAATCTCTCTCTCCGATATTTTCCCATTTCTTCCCGCTTCTTCCCTCTTAAGTTTCATATCCGTCCTAGGTTTCCTATCCGTCCTAAGTTTCCTATCCGAGTCACGGCACCATTATGTCGCTCCCCCTCTTCGTGGAGGAATGACACTAAACCCTGCCTAGGCTTCATATCCGAGTCACGGCACCATTATGTCGCTCCCCCTCTTCGTGGAGGAACGACACAGGACCCTGCGCTGTTCTTTGGTCTGCTCGGCCCTTCCCGGGTTTGCTGCTGGTTCTTCCCGGGTTGGCTACTGTCCCTTCCACCTCCGTGGAAGGGCAGTTCCCCCTGGCCACATTCCCCACTTCCGCAGGGGAGCGGCACACCGCCGGCCGGCTCTCTCGGGGGCTGCACAGGTGTTCCCCTTAGATGTTCCTCTTAGATGTTCCTGGTGCATGCCGTCTCTCTCCTCCTTTATAGTCCTCCTCCACCAATCCTAACTCGGCTGCCCACACGCCGAGTACGCTGCTCTCCTCCAATCAGGAGCAAGTCCTACAGTTTATTGGCTGAACTGGAGGCAGCTGTGCGGAAGCTGTTTACTTCTCTCCCAGCGCCATATTGTGGGAGAGCAGATGCACAGAATAAGTCCTAATTCCAGTAACTTAGTCTAGTCCGAGCTGCTCCCCACACTCAAAGACATCAGAAATATTTTACATGAAGTGTTGAAAAACAAGAAACCGGGGCCAGCACTGTGTGTAGCAGGGGAAACCGCCACCGGCGACGCCGGCATCCAACACGGGTACTGCTCCTCTTCTGGTCCAGCTCCCTGCTAATGGTCTGGGAAAGCAGCAAAATACAGTCCAAGAGCTCGGGCCCCTGCACCCACACAGGAGATCCGGAAGAAGCTCCTGCTCCTGGCTTCTGTCTGGCCCAGCCCTGGCCATTGCAGCCACGTGGGGAGTGAGCCAGGAGATGGAAGATCTGCGTGTGTGTGTGTGTGTGCGTGTGTGTGCCCCTCTCTGTAACTCTGACTATCAAACAAATAAATTTTAGAAATCTTAGAAGACAAATAATCTTGTAGTAGTTTCTAAAAAAACCCCAAGCAAACAAAAAATCCTGAGATATGAACACAGATAGTGCTCTTGAAGGGTTAGAATTGCTGTCTACCCCAGGACTAAATCCAGAAGAAATAACACTGACCATGGCGGGGAGAAAACACACACATAAAATATCCTCAACAGTGTGACAAAAGCAAACCAAATAACCAGTAATAACAAAAGTATTCTACTACTGTTAAAAAGTACTTGATAAAATGTAACAATTTAGCCACTGAAAAGAATAGACAATAATAATAGCAGGAATAAATATCTAAGTTAAACTGAAAAAAGGCTATAAAATTCTGTATATATTCTAATTAGAGTAGCACACGCAAAGGCGCATTTCATAAAACTTAAGATATATGGAAAATGCCAAAAGGGGAAAATAATACCGGTCACGTGATGCTGGTAAGATAACGACCTTTTTTGGCCTTTTTCCTCTTAAGTGTAAGAAATAAAACCAGAACTTACTTCGTCAGAAGCAGACCGAAGACACTGGACAGCCGCCTGCTTCTTCATCTCCTCCAGAGTCAGATCGGGACACTTTCTCTTGCTCTTTCCCCACTTCCTGTAGGCTCCTTTCTCCCAGCCCAGGAAGGTGTCACTCTCCTACAACAAGATCGCACAGGCCGGACGCTCAGCACCAAGTCCCGGGCAGAACCCTGCCGCTCTCCTCACACACGCACACCGTGCACAGCATGGCGCACCCCGCCAAGAGACCACAGCACACTGCCCACCCACACTTGAGCAGAACTCATCTGGCTGCTGCCCGTTACCCAAAGTGCTAGCCAGCGACCTGCTCAGACATTTGTACGTGCATAAAAACTGAATTTCAGCATAAATGCTAAGTTATGCCCATGTTATTACCAGACTTTAACATTCTTATAGTTAAATGGTTCAAGCCCTACTTTTTTGGAGGGAAACATAAAATATTTTGAAAGGACATTATTTTTCCCCAATTATATATGTCCATAGTAAAAATCTGAAGGAAATTCAAAATAGAAGGGAAAACACTCACCCATGATCCTACTGCTCAGTGAAAATAGCAATTTAATGTGCTTTACTCAGTTTTTTCTCTACACTTTTTAAAAACATATGTGAGTGACCAGCGCTGTGGTGTAGTGGGTAAAGCCACAGCCTGCAGTGCCAGCATCCCATGTGGGTGCTGGTTCTAGTCCCGGCTGCTCCACTTCCGATCCAGCTCTCTGCTATGGCCTGGGAAAGCAGTGGAAGATGGCCCAGCCCAGCTCCGGCCATTGTGGCCATTTGGGGAGTGAACAGCAGATGAAAGACCTCCCTCTCTCTCTGCCTCTCAAATAAATAAATAAATCTTAAGAAAAAAAAAAAGTGAATTCACACTATTCAATTTTGTATCTGACCTCACTGTTATATTGTAAACATTACCAACATTACTACAAATTCTTTGGCTCTATGATATTATTTGAAAAAGTTGCAGAGAAAGGGAGAGACAGAGCTTCTGTTTGCTGGTCCACTTTCCAGATGGCCACAGTGGCCAGAGCTGCTGAGCTGCATCTGGGTCTCTTGGGCCATCTCCCACTGCGTTTCCCAGGCCACTGGCAGGCAGCAGAGACTGACCCCGGCCCTGGGATTTTTTTTTTTTTTTTTTTTTTTTTGACAGGCAGAGTGGACAGTGAGAGAGAGAGAGACAGAGAGAAAGGTCTTCCTTTGCCGTTGGTTCACCCTCCGTGGCCAGCGCACCGCTCTGATCCGAAGGCAGGAGCCAGGTGCTTCTCCTGGTCTTCCATGGGGTGCAGGGCCCAAAGACCTGGGTCATCCTCCACTGCACTCCCTGGCCACAGCAGAGAGCTGGCCTGGAAGAGGGGCAACCGGGACAGAATCCGGAGCCCCGACCAGGACTAGAACCTGGTGTGCCAGCGCTGCAGGCGGAGGATTAGCCTAGTGAGCCGCGGCGCCGGCCCGGCCCTGTGATGTTCTAAGTGCAGATTTACTTGGCTGTTTCTCAAGCCTGCTACTTTCTAGTTGCTTTGCTACTTTGTTTGGCCTCCTAAGCCTTTCATTTGATAAATGATTAAAACCAGTGGCAATAAGGGGGGAAAAGATTAGAAAGGGCAGAAAGAACAAAATTAAAAAGCCACTTAGAACATCTGGCCAACAGTAGGCCCTCAGGAAAGATATAAATGAGTGATGGACTGAATAAAGGAGAACAAGTAAAACAGTAGCTTCCAAAAATCTAGTATGATCAAATATGATACAATTTTTACTTTGATCCAATACATAAAAATTACTTCATCAAAATGAAAGATCCCTCCCTCGTGAGCGTACATTTTACTTAATTGCTTGAGCATGGGGCCAGCATTGTGGTCTACAGGGTTAAGCTGCTGCCTCTGAGGCCAGCATCCAATCTGGGCACCAGTTCTAGTCCCGGCTACGCCTCTTCCAATCTAGCTCCCTGTTAACGCACCTGGAAAAGCAGTGGAAGATGGCCCACGTGCTTGGGCCCCTGCACCCACATGGGAGGCCTGGAAGAAGCTCCTGAATCCTGGCTTCAGCCTGGCCCAGCCTCGGCTGGTGCGGCCATTAGGGGAGGGAACCAGCAGATGGAAGATCTATCTCTGTGTGTCTCGCTCTGTAACTCTTTCAAATAAATAACTCATCACTTGGGCACGTTTCCAGAGCTCATGAGCCCGAGCGGAATCACTTTCCCCTTCGGAGGAACGTGCTCTTTCCGAATGAGAGCTACTGACACGCGCCATTCACTGAGCACGCTTCCTGGACGACATTCTTATCACGCCCCCTCCGGAGATGGAGCAGGCTTCTCCTGTAACGGAGCCACAACCCTAACAATGCAGACTCAAAGCTTCTTGAAGGCAAAGAAACACGTCAGTTTCCCACTGTTCAGACTGCAGAGAATCTACTTGCAGGTTACTGAACGCAGGGCTGCTGGGCCTGACTGCGCGCTGACCTGTGCAAGCGGCTCCCAGGAAGCTGCCCCACAGCTCAGCCCACAACACACCCCACATCCCAATAAACACGTGTCACACACACAGACACACGGGCCACACAGCTTCAACACGCACACAGCCATGACCCCGTAATTCTACTTCCGTGAGTGTGTCTTAGGGAAACACCTAGCCATAGTGATGCTGATCACACGCGCAGAGAACCAAACGTCAGCACAGAGAACCTGCGCGAACCAGTCACGGCCCATCGGGCAACAGATACTATAGCCATTAAGAAGAAATTATGAAGGTCATTTATCGTCATGGAAAGCTATACACGGTATGTAAAAGTAGCAGTTTATAAAAGAATGACCTCATTTCTGGCTAAACACACACCCCCGTAAGTGGACATTAAGAAGTTTGCAGAGGGGCTGGCACTGTGGCGTACGGGTAAAGCTGCCGCCTGCAATGCCGGCATCCCACACGGGTGTGTACTTAGACTCCCGGCTGCCCCTCTTCCAGGCCAGCTCTCTGCTGTGGCCTGGGAAAGCAGTGGAGGATGGCCCAAGTGCTTGGGGCCCTGCACCCCATGGGAGACCAGGAGAAGCTCCTGGCTCTTGGCTTTGGATCCACACAGCTCTGGCTGTTACGGCCATCTGAGGAATGGACCAGCAGATGGAAGACCTCTCTCTCTGCCTCTGCCTCTCTGTAACCCTGCCTTTCAAATAAATAAATGAATTAAAAAAAAAAAAAAAAAAGAGTCTGCAGAGGCAGGCATTTGGCCTAGTGATGAAGAGGCCAATTAAGACATCCAGATGAAAGAGGCAGAGAGCTCTTAAGTAAAGGAAGAAAAGCCCCGAGAAGAAACGCAGCTAAGCGCTCACGGAGAGCCTGTCTCCTGGCGAGCAGATGCCGGATACGAGATTCTTAGGTGTGTGTGTGCCGACACTGGGCCATGCTGCTGTATGTCACAGAAGGTTCTGTCTAAACGCAGAGTCCATGACAAAACGCGGAGAGGCCCAGCAGCTCTTACCCCGGCACAGAGGATCGGGCAGTCCCCGCCTCCTGTCTGACCTGGTTAAGCACGGACACAGGTTCACCCATTCACCCAGAAACCACGCAAGTGCAAGTGCCTTCGGAGTGGCGTCGGACACTCAGCACAGTCTGGCGTGGAGGAAGTGTGAGCGGACGACCACAAGCCCCCGGCGCTGGCACACACATACAGAGCGCGTCCAGGATGTGAAGAGGCACACCTTCCCTTCTCAGTCCTGGGAGGCAAGTACAGGCCTCCCGGCCAAGGAGGGGCCACTGAAGCAGAGCCTGGACCTGGGCCAGAGGCAGAGTGCCCAGCACCTGGGAGGGCTGCAGAGTGAAAGCTTTAAGACCAAGAGGCAGTTACATCAAGGATACAATGTAGGCACTTTTCATAAGAGACAGAAGAGGGGCGGGGGCAGAGGGGGAGCAGGTTGGGTGGGGGGGGCGGGAGCGGGGAGGGAATACACTTCATAATTGTATTCATAAGAATTCAAGGGGCCGGTGCTGTGGGGTAGCGGATAAAGCTGCTGCCTGCAGTGCCGGCATCCCGTATGGGCGCTGGTTCGAGTCCCAGCTGCTCCATTTCCAGCCAGCTCTCTGCTGTGGCCTGGGAAAGCAGTGGAGGATGGCCCAAGTCCTTGGGCCCCTGCTATCCATGTGGAAAACCTGGCAGAAGCTCCTGGCTTTGGATCGGTGCAGCTCCAGCTACTGTGGCCAACTGGGGAGTGAACCAGCAGAGGGAATACCTCTTTCTCTACATCTCTTTCTCCGTGTAACTCTTTCAAATAAACAAATCTTTTTAAAAAAAATTTCAAAATATTGTTCAGTATGATTTTTATTCCATGCAGGTCTACTGATGAGAAGAGTGAACTTTTTAGGGGAGAGAGAACAATTGGGGTTCAAAGTATTCCCCATCGCCAAAATACATACCTTTTTATTTATTTATTTATTTTTATTTATTTATTTTTTGACAGGCAGAGTGGACAGTGAGAGAGAGAGACAGAGAGAAAGGTCTTCCTTTGCCGTTGGTTCACCCTCCAATGGCCGCCGCGGCCGGCGCACTGCGCTGATCCGATGGCAGGAGCCAGGTGCTTCTCCTGGTCTCCCATGGGGTGCAGGGCCCAAGCACCTGGGCCATCCTCCACTGCACTCCTGGGCCACAGCAGAGAGCTGGCCTGGAAGAGGGGCAACCGGGACAGAATCCGGCGCCCCGACCGGGACTAGAACCCGGTGAGCTGCGGCGCTGGCCCAATACATACCTTTTTAAAAGAGACTTAGTATTTTATTTGAAGGGCAGAGTTGCGGGGAGGGAGGGAGACAGACTGTCCATCTGCTGGTTCACTCCCCAAATGGCCACAACGCCTGGAACTGGGCCAGACTGGAGCCAGGAGCTTCATCCAGGCCTACACGTGGGTGCAGGCGCCCAGGCACGTGGGCCAGCCTCCACTGCTTTCCCAAGTGCATTAGCAGGAGTCAGACAGAAGTGGAGCAGCCAGGACTTGAATCAGCACCCACCTGGGATAGCGGCGGCACAGGTGACGGCTTTACCAGCTATTCCACAGTGCCTGCCCACTCGGGAGCGTCTATATGCAAGACGTGATATGTGACTAGAGAAAGACTGACATCTTCCTCTCCAAAATGGATGTTTCAGTT